ATAATCGTATCCGACAACGGTTTGCAGTTCACCTCAAGTCAATTTCAAGAATCTTGCAAACGCTTATCGATCAAGCATTTCCGCTGTCCACCCTACCACCCGCAATCAAACGGCCATACATTTTAGAGAGCTGTAATCAAGTTGAAAGGAGAGGGGACGCCAGTGGAGACACTGCAAAACTTCTTATTTGTTTACAGAACGACACCTAGTGATGTATTACCCGAGCAGAAATCCACATGGGAATAAAATTGAGGACGGCCCACAATCTGATGCTTCCGAAAACCATACTATCGCCATCACTGACCAAGTCCCAGAAGCTGCCAACATACGAGTTCGGACGTCCGGTGTTCTTTCGTTACTACAGACCAAATCATGGTCCCTGGACTGAAACACATGTGGTCGGAAATGTAGACCATGTCATGTACGAAGTAGAGGTAGGAAAAGACAGGTGGACTCGACATCGGAACCAACTACCCAAGCGGTTAGCCCTAGTTCGCCCATCGACAGATGGGAATCTCCCTCTTGACATCCTATGAGATACCTTTAGCCTACCCACAGTTCCGACACAAGATGAAGCACATCGACTGGTCGATCTACGACCCAGAACGTGGTCACTCCGACAACGGCGACAAACGGTCAAAATGCAAGTGGACTCCGGAAACATGCGTTATTAAATGAGGGAGGTGTTGGGGATCTAACATCCTCAACAGAAACGAAACCTATGGGTTAGATTTTCTGATTGGTATAATGGTAGTTGTATAAATAAATAAACTCATATTTTAAATATGTTTCACAGATGTGAATTATTATTTTTTTACTCCCGAAATATTTATTTATTTCTGATGTTGTTAAGTTCTCTGAAATAGATGGTTTATTTAGATGGATGAACTAATCTAAGACAACAATTGAAAACTTGGAAGCACTGAACAACCGTTTCGTCTTTATATGAACTTCTTCAACGTTGTGTATCTGCGATTCCACCTGATGATGATTTAATCAAATTCATTTTGTACAAGGTCATCAGCGCTCTACTTTTACTTCCAGAGCAACAATAAAATTTTCATAATTAGATTATTTATCTCAGAGAACGAAACAATACTTGAGCTATACATCTTTCTTATCAAATTTACTCTCATTATCTTATTTACTTTTTTCCATATTATGAAATCACTTCTATTTAGCTCATCTTGTACTGATACAAACTATGGAACATTTAATTTCTTCATCATTATTATTGAAAGAATTCATTTATGCTGGTGGTTTAATTTATCTAATGGAAATAATATGTCAATCATCACAACAACAAACACGTCATGCAACTGTAGATTTAATATCACATTGTTTAATTAATAAACAATTTGGTCGACGTATACAAGCAATTATGAATCAATATTTACCAAATGTATTTGTTGATACATTAAGAGATCAACCGGAAACATTCTTAGCGTTATTCGATGGTAAGTTATATCCAGAATGTATATATATATGTGTGTGTATGTTTTTCTTTACTTTATTATCTAGAGAAGTAGATATTATTAATATTGTCTAGTATGCATAAATACATTGCAGAAGTTATCAAACTACACCACTAGGGAAGCCCTAATTTGAAATCCTGAAGAGAAAGGAACAAAAAATGCTAAAGAACACATTACACCAAGAATCGGAGGCAGCTATCAAATAAATGAATAGCAATCGGAAACAATTCCAAATGTGAGCCCAGTATAGAGTTGATTAGAATCCTGGTCGGCGACTTATGCTCCACTAATTGTCACTGGCGTAAATGAATGTTGGTGAGACTATAATTTATGGATAACCTTTGGGTGACCCTAAAGAGTGACCTTGGGAATGTCCTCCTACTTGGGTTAAATGAGAATAATAAATTAGTATGAGGAATTGGGATTTCGATTTGCACATGAACGTTAGGGTTAGGATTTTTATCACGAACTGACGTTAACTATAATGCCAAAATGGATGAATGTATTTCACGCCATAATTCAAGACCTGTTATCTCAAATACGGTTGGTTCGTCCAATGTTGATGTGAAAGACTAAACCGTGGGAATATGGCTTGAAAAGACAGTGGAAAGTTATATATGAAGGGATACCGCAATCGAAGATCGAAATGAAGATTAGGATTCAATGCATTCGCACCGTTATGAAAGATTCTGAACTATTTCATGTAACGTCTTCATCTACTACCATAACGCACACCAACAGTCACTGACTCCATGGACCATGTTGTGCCGTAGTTTGGGCATCCATATTCATTAAACATGTTCTTTTTCACTACTTCTACTTATTATTTGCTCATTTATTTTTTTAAAAACATTTTTCAGCTGATCATGAAAACCCCGAGGTGATATGGGATTCTAATTTACGTAGTATGTTAACTAAAATTTTAAATGAACAAACACACAGGTAATGACTTGTTAAGTTATATATTTTTTTGGTTTCACATTTTTTACTGATATAATTCAGTTCTTATGGGTTTTAAGCGGGTTACTAGTTGCGAGATGCATTTCTCTTCCTCTGAGTGCGAATTATATGCTTTAGGACTGACTGATCTACGTCAATGCTTTAATATCAAAACAACGAATAATGTAGTTGAACGTCGTGATCCTCATTAAATTCATCTTTAAATATCATCATCGTTGATGGATAGTTCTTGACTAACTAACTCCGCTTTTACCGATTTTCATCACTTATTACATAGGTCAGCTGTATGTCTTACTGTTATCATTTTAATTGTTAACTGTCTTCGTCAAACGCTAAATTCTCTTCTTATTTCAATGTGAAATGTCATTTTAATACTGGATCTATGTCAATGATAAGTCCGATCATTTTTCGAATACTAAAGCAATTGAACACATTGATCAGGAAGTTAAAATTATGCTCTTGAGTCATATCCACTTCATGTTAGTTCAGTCCTACTTAACCAACTAAAGACTTGACTTCAGGCTTAACTTTTCAACTTGAAGGTTCAGTTGTAATACTAAACAACATTTACAGTCATAGCTGAGACAAGATCTTAACCTACCACTAGGTGGTAGTTAAATTGAGGTTCTTCAATCAATAAGACACAGTTTCACTCATTTATTCACTTTTGAATAACTGATTAATATTTTGTTGTGATGAGCAGTGTCCAAAATCTAATACTGATACACGGCACGGTGTGCTATGCGCTAACCGCCGAAATCACTGCTTGTGCGAAAAAATGTACTGGACTACCGAATAAGATGTACAAATACTCATTCATGTATATACCAATTTAATCCTTAGGAAACTGATCCATTTCCTATCCAATGAAATGAACTTATCCTTTAGGTCACTTTTGATTGCCACGGATTGAACTTTTCATCAGGCTACTTCTGATTAGCTCTCCATATCATACTTCATTGATAAAAAGCATTGCTTCTTAATTGGTTTTTATTTATCTTAAATTTAATTATGGTTATTGTATGTTTGTATATAATTGATATACACAAACTGTACTACTAAGCTTTTGACGAAATTTCGGAAAATTATCTCAGAACATTTATAACTTGTTGAGCACATTGTTTTTTTTTGACATAACTCATTAAAGATGGACGCGATATTCCATTGAGAGCCTATAAATACTACAAAAATAATATAAATCGAAGACCACTGCAAACATTCTACTTTGATAAGGATTTCGAACGTGTTCAATTCCAATTCTTATGTTCATCATTGCCTATGTGATTTCCTGTGTACATCATTCTAGTGTTGGGAAAATTGTATGAAATAAACTAGACACTTGAGTTTAAAAAAATCTTTCGAAAACTACCAACAATGCTTTGTGCTTAAATTGAGATAATGAAACGATCAATGTTAGACCACCATTGAACACTTGGAAGCACTCAATGACCGCTTTGTCATAGCATGAGACTCCTCAGGAGCGTGCATCCACGATCCTGCACATGGGATTTGAACCAAGAAGCTTCCGTTTCGCGCGCGAACTTCTAACTTCTAAACCACTGAACCAGAATCAAACGGTGTTATTGTCCAACTTGAACCATTCTACGATATTGTGCGGCCATCTCCCAACTGCCTCATACTCGACACAGTCCAACTCCACTGGTCATAGCTTCTCACTAGAACTCCGAGAAATATCTCTCGGAGCTAGATGGTCCCAAGCTCGAATAAAGGAGGAGGGTTGGGCATGAGGTTAGCCACCTTATCCCGTAGTAAACTAACCATTAAAAAGCGCTAACCAGAAAAAATAATTCAAACCATTTAAACTCTGCTCTGGGAGTTAGAAGATCTTCGTGGAGGTTAACACATTTTAAAGATTTACGCTAAATTTTTGTTAAATTAAATTTATGTCCCCTTGAGTTTGTGTCTTTGTCAGTCAGCTACGACATAGGACCAGGTGCATATATTCATCGGTTCAAGTTACCACACCTCATTAACACAACAAGATCAACATCGAATTCATAAAATCAGTTACTTCGATGGTACTAAAGATTGTGTATAAGGATATAGTACAGGAAGAAAGAATTAGTTTGTGGAAAGAAAGGTATAAAGCAATTTTGGACTCACGGTTTGAGGGAAGACAAATAGTGTATACGCCTACACCATTATGATTGATTCTCAGCCACTTCACACAGTCTCCAACCATTGGTTATGATAGTCACACAGATCCCAACCAAATAGTCTATGTATAGTCTATATACCGTTGGATGCCGGTTCAGTAGTGGTCTAGTGGTTAAGTGCTCGCACGCAAAACCAGTAGGTCCTGGGTTCGGATTTCGCACGGGGCGAGGTCGTGGATGCGCACTGCTGAGGAGTCCCACAATAGGACGAAACGGCCGTCCAATGCTTCCAGGTTTTCCATGGTGGTCTAGCTTCAACAGACTCATGATCTTAACCATAGTCTATATTTATTAAATAGATTTTGTAAACTTTTGAATTGATGTTTGTTTTATTTCAATATCTTAATCATTGACACACACATTGTCTACTTAATTCCTTTTTTAATAGTTTCTATCATTCACAACTTGAAGATCGTAATATCAAATGGAATTTATCCGATTCATTTAAAGTACCTTATACAGAAGTAATAGCTAAGAAAGCTAATGAAGAGAATAAAAATAAACCAAATGAAATTGCTCAATATGTTGCATGTCTTGGTCCAATTCAAATAGCTAATGTCTATTTACATTTATATATATCACATCCTGGTTGGACATTACGTAATCCAGAATTATTTTTAAATGAATGTATGGAAAAATGGATTGAGGTAAATAGAAGAAATCTTATATTTATTTGATTGATTGTTATAAGGGAGTAGTTTTTTTAATCTTTAATGTATACATTTGTGTAAATAGACACATACTTACATCTAGATGATGAGTCTAAACAAGGATGAAACATTCAT